CTTCACAGTAGAAAATATTTTTTCATGCTACCTATGTTCTATGTGACAAAAGCTGAATAACCCTTCGTACTGCAAACCACAGCAAACCCCACAACTAACTTAAAGCCATTTTGTAGTCTTTCTACATGATCCAGGCCCTATAGTTTTTCTTGCTCATAAGACTTTGCTGTGTCCCTCAATCTCAGAAGCTATCTAATAATTTTTTTTGGTCTTTTCATTTCTCCAGCTTCCACTTGTGGGCAGAGTCAAGTGAAGGCACAGCCCTGGAATTACCTGAATGGTTTTAGTCGCATTGTTGGGGGAAGCCAAGTGGTAAAGGGCTCTTACCCATGGCAGGTGAGTCTCAGAGAACATTATCTGGTGGGTAGACTATGAGCTGTTTTAGGATTTGATACTTCAAAATCACCTGCTACTCACTAGTGCACTCCATTCGGCCTAGCTCGTCATCAGAGAGCTCATGAGTGTGTACAAGGGTTCAAGTCCCTCATGCTGTAGACCAGTTATACTGCAGAAACGGTGTGCCCAGAATAGCTACATGCACTATTGGCTTGTTTCCAAAATTGAAAAAGACATCCCAAACTTTCAACTCCTAAAACAAAAATCCCACTTTAAGATGAAAAACTTTTAAATTTACAATTTAAAAAATAATTTCCCGATTCAATGCATAGATTTAAAATATACTTATCTCCTTATAGTTAAAGATGGCCAGGGAAATCAAAGGTGTCATATCCACAAGTCTACTTTATGTCTGAGGTTTAAGATTTGTACCTATTCCATATGACCTCTCAGGGAATAATCAAGCCTACTACCTTCTTAGTAGCTAATGTCTGAAGAATTCTGTCTCAGTCTAATTTCCTGGTCCTCCCCTGTCATAGAAATGTCTTTGAGCTTCTGCCCTTGCCAGTGGTGTTCACATTTATGCTCCTTACAAGTCCCCCACCTTTATATTTTACCCTGGGAGCCACACTATATTCTTGTCATTTACTTTTGCAAGTAGAGTAATAGCTCTTTATTTTTACTTCTCTTAAGCCAGTCATATGAACTTTTAGTCCAGTGGGTATTTAGAATGGTTGGTCGATTGAGTTTGTATTCACTAGGTTGATGAATTAACTTGGTTGAAGAGCTGATTGATCAGTTGCTTACTTGGCATTTGGTTAGCTAGTCAATTCAGAAGTCCACATTCAAATCATAGTCAGGGATGAATCACTGACTTTCACTTACCTGCTGTTTATTATATTCTTAGCCTTTTCTCTGTATTAAATATTTTTTTCAATCATTCATTGAATAATATTTGGTCAAAAGGGAACAATTCTAATAAATTGCTTACTTTCTTATTCCAACAATGGAATTATAAGTATTACTTGTACCCTGTAAGTCATTTTAGAGTCAAAGCAAATATCATGAACAAGATAAACCAAAGATGGAGGCAGAGTAAAAAATAGGCTTGAAGAAGTGGTAGAGGTCAAACAGTTAAGAGTCCCAGAAAACTGTAGGACCAGACTATCTCTCCAAGAGGCTTGGAGGACTTGGAGCACATGTTTTAAGACTCTTTAGCCCTCCCCCATGGCCTTTCTCTCAGACCTGCTCCTCTGGATTCTGCTGTATCTTACTATTCTTTTTGTTTTCTCTTCATTTATAGATATTGTTTATATTGTTAGAGTAACAGTATGAATATTATTATAAAAATTAATAAATGCCATCAATGCATAAAAAATAAATACTATAGCCAATGATCTGAGATTAACCACCTGGGAACCAGGCTTGGAAGGACCC